TTTTGTTAAACTGGAAGGCAACCTTTATAATAAAACTTTCTGTAGAGTGAATCCACTTTTACAATGCAGTATAATGCAGTTGAGTTTTGAATTAGAAAAACTTACAAAATTGATTTAAAATGTGCTGTGTATTTATTATTCAATATTGAAATATATGAACAAATATAAAAGATATCATTCAAAGTTAATTTGAAATAATAACCTGCTTTAACCTCAACCACTGATGGACTCGACTCATTGATACAAAAGTAAAATTGTCAGGCAACTATAGGCAGTGTGATCATATTCTGACATTAGAAGACAAATATACTTCATGCTATTTATGAAATTATCTCTAATACTATCTATATATATTATCTATGCTTCAAAAGCATGGTTACCATGGCCAGTTGTTTCCAGTTGTGCTGTTTCAACAACTATGTCAAGAAACCCCATGCAGGTGACAAAACACCAGTGCCAGATTAACCATATGGCAGAAGCGGCATATGCCACATGCCCCACGGTTTTCCTTATTTCAGTGCAGGGCCCAACCAAACATAATGCACACTGCACAGCAGGTATACACTTTTAGGTATTACTTGTCATATGATATTATTGTTGATACCCATTGTGTCACTTAATTTTAGTACAAATTATTGATGTATACTTCCTTTTTTTGTAAATACACAAATTTCAAGCAACTTCTCAACACGTACAATACAAAAGGATATGTTTATGTTTTTGAATCTTTCTGAATTCAGTGTTTAAAATGCAGGGGGGGGGCGCTGTCTTGGGTCCCCGCACTGATAAAATGCCACAGGTGGACAGGCCCCGCGAAATGTTAATTAATCTGGCCCTGCAAAACACAACATTGTTGCAACCAGTGTTTCTTTTTTGAATACCCCTGGGGCATATATAAACCAACAAGCACATATATATGCTGGGAATTTGGTGGAAAAGCACCTACAGATATTTTACAATAACAAATGTTTAGATATAAATGAATGATCAAAATTAATAATGAACTTTACACTCTGCATGCCTTTGGAGTCACTGCACTAAAACAATATACACTGTCACTGATTACACTCTACAACTGAAAGTTCAAAATTCAAATGCAATATAAAAGTGGATTCACTCTACAGAAAGCTTTATTAAGGTTGCCTTCCAGTTTAACAAAATGACAAATTTAAAAAGTACAAATATATTTAGTAACAACAAAGACATGTATATATATTTTGTAAAAAGGCTTAGTATTAAAGATGGATAATTGAAAGTTTGAAACCCTCTGGTTGATCAAGGTTAAACATAATTGATAAAACGAACTACTTACTTTACCTTAACAGTATGCTTGAGTAAACTAGAAATTATCGTGTTGTCATGCCACTGTAGCGATAAAATATTATTCCCGCATGGCAACTTTGAACGAACCAAACTGACGATATTTTAAGGCAATCTGGATAATTTTCGTTTTAACAGCATTAACATAACATCTTTTATCCACTGTGGAGCGACCAACTTGGTAAAACTTCGCAAAGTATCTCACATTTGGCAAAATTCACCTTAGTTCACGTTGTTCGCCATACTGTTCACATTTCTATAGTAATTTGTGTCCAGTGCTCTCACAACCAAATTTTGGAATTCCTCAGCAAGAGCTCCGAAATTCCTTAGAATTTCCCAAAATTCCTTAAATAACTTGTTTATCCCCAATTATCCCTGGAAGTACGATTTTATACCGCTGACACTGTAGCGGCATTGTTGTAATGTTGTTACATGTATGCTGTAGACACTAGACAGTAGTCTAGACACATTGGCTAGACACATCCATAAACAAAATTAAACATTGCGGTCGAGCAAGCGATGTTTGTTATTTTTTATACGCCTTTTTGCAGAACATGATGACTGATACTATACTCCCGAGAATTTGCTGCTTGAACGCACGCTCAATTAATGGAAAGGTTGATGAACTTGCAGCATTTATGTCCGTCAACAAAGTTCATATAGCCGCAATTACGGAGTCTTGGTTGACTGATGAGATAGGGGACGATCAAATATCGATTGGTGGTTATGTAATTCATCGTAAGGACCGGACACATGGCCGTGGGGGTGGGGTTTGCGTTTATGTGTCTCAGCAGATATCCATTACGCGATACTTGGAATTAGAAGATTTAAATCTAGAGTGTATGTGGTTGTGGGCTCGACCACCACGCCTACCGAGACCGCTATCTGCAATCGCAGTATGTGTAGTGTATAATCCACCGGACAAAAGTGTGCAAGAACAGAGGGAACTTTGCGATTACCTTGTGTCCTCTATTGATACTATACGCTCTAAATACCCTGATTGTGGCATAGTCGTTTTAGGCGATTTTAATCGTCTCAATATACAGGATTTAGTTACAAGTCACAACCTTAAGCAAGTCGTCACGCGTCCGACTAGACAAGATTCAATCTTAGACTATATTATTACGAACTTGAAATCCTTTTACAAAACACCGGATATTTCTGCTCCACTTGGAACGTCGGACCATAACGTAATCATGTGGATCCCAAAAGACATTTTTAAGGATAATAATAATACGTGTACAAAGCGCACTGTGCGTCGGTATCCTCAGTCAGGTTTGAATGGTTTTGGTTTATGGTCAACCAGGAATAAATGGTTTAGTGGACTCGGACTCAATCCATCGTCGGATGAGTTAGCGTCATCTTTTACCAATGATCTGAACACTGCATTCGATCATTTTTTTTCCAGTGAACACAATCAAATTTCATCCCACGGACAAACCATGGATTACTGGGCACATAAAGCAACTTATTAAAGAACGCCAACGTGCTTTCCACACTGGCGACGCGCAATTGTGGCGCCATTACAGACGGAAGGTCCAGATAGAGATTAAAACTAGGAAAAATAATTTCTATACCCAAAAAATCCATAACTTGCGAAAAGACGATGTCCGTCAATGGTGGCACACTATTAACACAATGTCAGGTAGAGCGAAAAGTCAACCTCAGTTTACAATTGAGCGTGACGGACAGTTATTATCGGAAGGTGAACTGGCAGAGTCTGTAAATGATTATTTCGTAAGTGTAGCAAGTGATATCCCACCACTTGATATTTCAAGCCTTCCAACATTCTTACCAGCTGCGGTGCGGCCTCCTACAATTCATCCTCATGAGGTTTGTAGTAAGCTCTTAAAACTTCAGACAAATAAGGCTATGGGCCCGGACAGCATTCCACCACGAATTTTAAAAGAGTTCGCCTACGAACTTGCTGAGCCAGTTAGATCAATATTTAATACATCTTTGTCCTCTGGACTAGTACCTGTTTTATGGAAAGATTCTACCATCATACCATTCCTAAAGCGAAACAAACCCAGGTTGAGAGCGATACCCGCCCCATCGCACTTACCCCTGTGTTATCGAAAGTACTCGAAGACTTTGTGGTTAGTTGGATGGTTGAGGACATAGGTGGACAAATCGATAATCGTCAGTATGGCAGCCTGAAGGGAACATCTACCACCCTTTGCCTTCTAGGTCTTATCCACAACTGGCTTTCTAAAATGGACAACCCAGGTCATTACCTTAGAGCTTGCTTTTTGGACTTTAGCAAAGCTTTCGATAGAATAGACCACAATATTGTTATAACAAAATTGATCGATTTGGGAGTGCGCCGTTCAATAATCCCTTGGATTTGTAGCTTCCTTTCAAATCGCCGCCAGTGTGTTAAGCTGGGACAGTGCGTATCCCGATGGCTTTCAACCAGTGCTGGGGTCCCACAGGGTACCAAATTGGGTCCAATCCTTTTTGTCATAATGATTAATGATTTGAAAATAGTATCCCCGCGTTCCAGTAATTGGAAGTACGTAGACGACGTGACGATATCTGAGATTGTTCCAACAAGGGAGGTATCTATACTACAAAACGAATTGGACGCAATTGGTAATTGGACCAGTACCAATAATATGAAATTGAACCCCAAAAAGTGTAAAGAGATGATTGTCTCCTTTCGACGAGATATTGAGCAGCCACCACCCACCTTAGTTGTTGAAACCATTAGTCTTGAAAGAATAGAATCCCACAAAGTATTAGGTTTAACGATCCAGAATAATCTGAAGTGGGATTTGCATATCAGTGAGATAGTAACCAAAGCATCAAAAAGACTACCCATCTTACGAGTTCTCAAGCGCAGTGGAGTTTCACCGTTTCATTTACTACGAGTACATTTTGCACTTATTAGATCCCTGCTTGAGTACTGCTGTCCGGTATGGCATTCATCATTGACCATTAACTTGTCAGATAAAATTGAACGGGTCCAGAATCGCACAATGCGAATAATCTACCCCACATTAAGCTATGACGCTGCTCTGGACCAAGCTAAATGTTCGACATTACGCGCAAGACGTGATGGTTTGTGCATAAAAACTTTTGACAAAATCAGACAGCCTGATTCACGCCTTAATCATTTAATACCACCTTCTCGGGCCAATGGACACAATTGTAATTTAAAGTACGGAAATAGATTAACACTGTTTCCTTGTAAGACGGAGCGCTTTAAGAAAAGCTTTTTTCCTACTATGTGCATTCAATCACATAATTTATAAATTTTGTAAATTTTGTAAATTTAAAAGTTCTTTCGATATTAATCACAAGGTACAGTAACACAAGGTACTTTTTAATACTTTTAACTAAAGTTTGTAAATAATTTCGCAATTCGCTTTCATCGAGCGCGACGATTTTTATAATAAACCATTAATAATAATAATAATAATAATAATAATAATTAATAATAATAAACTTTCAAGATGGAAGTTATGGAGTTGTCAAGTTTGTTCACTTCGAGACTTTCCCTTGACTTGTCAACGACGTTTACTGAGGCCGACGTCTCACTTACAGGATGTTGTTTCAAAGTTTCTTTCATGTCTGATGCTGTTAAATATCATGAGCCTTGCTTGCTCAAAATCATAAACGATGTCTTCTTGTTGCTCCTTACTGCAAAACGTGAGGCCTTCATGTTTGATAGCTCGCTATATATTGTTCATGCATGTAGAAATGTTATCACATTGGTTACAACGTGTTGTATGTTCATGTGCGCACGTTTCATTCAAGTCTGCATTTTTAGGATCACTAAGCCCGAACTTCAAGCAATGATCAGGACAAGGGCTCTCGGATTCCCGGCAATGATTACGGTATTGCGTTTTTAAATAACGTTTACCGTCTAGGAGAGACTTCTTTATAGCTTTTGACCAATTATCATCTTGCCGTAGTTCCTGTAGATCATCCACAATTTTACAAAGTTTCTCAAAACCTGCTGAGCCATCCGCTGCTGTATTGTCGACACCACACAAAGACTTTTGCTTGAAAGCTTCTCTTACTTGGAGGATCCGAAACAACGTTGTGCGACCCAGTGGCTCCACATTCTCTTCTTTGCAGAACATCAAATACTGGTCAATCATGGTTGAGCGGGTTACAGTGCGGATTACATTAGGCATCTTTAACGTTGCACCACTATCCATCTGAAATGTTCTAGTTCCGTATGCCACATCTTGGTAAAAGAAAGGTTTGTTGATGAAATCAATAAAGTGGTCTACTTGAACTTTGTTCAGTCGTACACGATGAGATGTGGACTTCTCAACGGCAAAACCTGGTCCACATTCACGGGCGTGAGCTCGTGCTCTCTTGATTTGCCAATCAGTTATGCGTTCGTACGGTTCATGTAGCTTTTTCAGTTTTGCGCGGAATACTGGTGAGCATAAAGACTCAAAAATTGTGTTTTTAAATTTCTGGTTGGAGCATTTTTGTGCGCTTGCATAAGGGTAACCAGCTCATCCAAAACAGTTTCAGTCTTTTGGTCGGGTAACTGCACACACGATTGCAAACGTTTATCTCCAGACTTTGGTGCTACTACTTCGCATACGATCTTGCATCCTTCCATGGCTTTATCAATGCAGATTTCCTTTTCCTCCTGTGTTGCTTCCTCCCACGATGTATTTAATTGAAATGTCAAAGGGGTGAAATTTCCAACTTTAACTTTCTCCGACAAACTAAATAATTCTTCAGTGTATTGGAACATCGGCGAATCGTTCTCTTCTCCACCTGGGCGGCAACTTCTTCAGAATCTCCACTGTCTTCGCCCGTCCATTGTCCTAGAGTCCAGTCAGCTGATACATACATAGTCTTTGCTGCAACTGGGGTGCCTTCCCAGTGTTTGACGTTGCTCGTGGTCATTTCAGCGTCTTTTTTAGCAAGCCTAAGAAGCCAGATGTACATACATTTATGTCTATCCTATAAAAACGTAACTTGCTTGTTTAAGTTAAGTGAAATTACTGTTCCAATTATTCAGGGGTTTTATTCAAGTGAAGCACGTCTCACCGTGATTGGTCGTTAAGACAAGCTGCTGTCATTTTATCTTTTTCTTGATCTTCTAATTCTATCCATCCTTGGTTTTCCTCGAACTTCTTCGTATGTTTTTAAGACAAGAAGAACAAACAGCTGTACAGAAGAAAATATATCATTACACATTTCCTTCTATTGCAATATTTGCCAAACGCACTGAAAGAAATCTTCAAACCTGCACGTGCATGTGGCTAGCGCCTTAGGCAAGATCCCTCTGTCTTTTTACTCTACATTAATTTAGATTAGTAAATGTGTCAGAACATCACCCAAATTAATTTTTCCTGAACCTATTGGAACCGTTATGCCAAAAATTTTTTGCGCATGCCTAGACATCTGTGGAGTTACGAGGTCGATATTCTGCAGCGCTTTTTTACCCCAGAGTGTAGAGGGTACTGACACGTTCTTAGAGGACGCCAATTACGACCCAAGTTGTACCGGTGCTTCGGACAAATCCACATATTTTCCAGCTTTTTTGGCGGGAAATCAAATATTCCCGCCCTTACAAGAATTAGCTCATATTTCTCGATTTTTCCAACCAGACTGGAAAGGCGACATACTTGCGAATGACCTGGTATGTCATGTTTATATTCAAGTAATTTACGCACTATCTTTGGCGATTTACGAAATTCTCCACAACACGACTTTGCAAGCTCAGAGAAAGAACAGATTGGCTCCATAACTGTAATTCAACCTTCAAATAAATTCACTAATGGTCTAGAAACAAATCGCAAAAGTAAACAAAACATTATTGTTAATTTTACTTCCGCTTTCCATATTCCAAGCCGTTTGATGCAATTATTTTGTAATTGTACGTGTTTTGGACCTTAGATAAATTTGTTGTGGTTACCTAATGTCTTTGGCTTCATTTTCCGTTAGAATCAAGGAAGCAAGCTCGTTGTGACCAACAAAATACATGCGAGTTCTACCGCGTTCGATGGATATGTGTATTTTACTGCTTAATTTAATTTTATGAGCTTCGTTGAATAGTTATTTACAAACTTCATGCCAGTGGATAAAATTTCAGTTTATGTTACATTATCTTGGATTTAAAATGTCACACGAAGATCAGAACTCTCTAGGTAAGAGATTTAGTGATCGAATTACACAGTACTTTGCGACAGCTATACTCTATGGGTTGGCACTGCATTTTGAAAATTTTGTGATTTGTAGGCGACTGTTATTTTCCCTAACGCCGCATGCAGAAAAATTTGATTCCTGTTTTGAGTTATACGTTATTTATTGTTTCCATTTATATAATTCAGGCGTTCCAGATAGGTGCCACACTTTTAAAATTCGCTCTTGAAGTAGTCATATTTTTGCATTTTGTCGAAAACCAGGTTACATGTTGTAAGTTTATAGCTGGTTCTGAATAATCCTCAGACGCATTCTCAACAATAATACGTCCAAATATTCAGCTATGCCAAATCTATGTACTGTCAATCTCGTTCCCCGAGCCTGCGATCCTCGGGAAGGAACGCGAGGCTCTGGGATAATCCGTTGCCGGAAGCCAGGAATTCTGGCTAAGATTGAACTACGAATTCCATTTCAACGCCCAATCAGATTCTTCCCTGAAACGGATTATCCCAGAGCCTCGGGTTCCTTCCCGAGGATCGCAGGCTCGGGGAACGAGATTGATGTACTGTTTAATAAACGAGCAGGAGTGTTTTAATAGGTTTAAAGCCACGAGCGCGCAGCGCGAGTGGCTTTAGACCTAATAAAACACGACCTGCGAGTTTATTAAACGGCTTCAAACACGACTACAAATTCAATAGATATACTGCCTTATTAGTATTCTTTATATAAAAAATACTAATGAGGACACGACTACAATAGATACTGCCTTATTAGTATTCTTTATATAAAGAATACTAATTAGGAGTCTTTTATCAGGTTTAAAGCCACTGCACGTGACATATTATGGTTGACATGATTTTGAATGAGCTTATAAGAAAAATCTAATTTTGCACTGAAATTCAGCGGATGATTTTTACAGAGACAGCCTGTTAAGGCTTTCAAAATGTATGGATCAGCATGCGCACGAAGAGGATATTAATAACATGCAACAATACTCAAGACAAGACTGTGTGGAAATTGCTGGTTTGCTTCAGCTGATGGGGGATAATACCAACGACCTTGTTATCAAAGTTGGCGCGTTAATAGGCTTAAGCCTAAGCGAAACGGACATTTCCGTCAGTCATCGTCTACCACAATCACCCGGAAGGAAAGGTATAGTTCTAGGCTGAGACCTAGAGATGGAGCTGTGTCTAGCAGCTTAAGTTCTAAGCTGAGACCTTTGAGATGGAGCTGTGTCAGCAGTTTCCTAAAGTCATCGTAAAGTTTATCAGAAGAGAAGTAAAGAAAGCTTTTTATAATGGGCGAAAGCGCCTGCGTGATAAAACAAAACAGGATATCGGCATGGGTAGATCTTCTAACAACAGAATTTATATCTCGCAGAGCCTAAGCCCAAGGAACAAAGAATTATTTGCCAAGTGTCTGAAGTTCAAAAAAGAAAATATGTTCCAATATATATGGACACATTCTGGCCGTATCTATCTTCGAAAGAATAAAGATTCGCCAGCTTACACTATTACCAAACCGAAAGATCTTGACAATCTGCGATGAGTATATTATATTTATATTTATGTCTTGATATTGATGTCTTCTAACACACTTCTAAATAATTTACCTAGACTTGAATTAACCTCTTGTTTATCGAATATATCAACACTGAGGGAATCTGATGTTGATGGGAATTTCATAAGTAATGTTGATTTTAATTATTTCACTAATAATAGCTTTAATGACAATCAAAACATTGAGCAGATTATTTCTGAATCAGATTTATTCTCTGCTCTACATAGCAAGAAGCCTATCGGCAAATCATGATCGTCTGACATCTATGTTGTCAGATCTTAATTGTCATTTTAACATTATTGGTCTAACTGAGACAAAAATAAGGGTAGGAAAGTCTCTAGTGTCCAATATCAGTATGCCAGGGTATGATTTCATTTCTCAACCTAGTAATACAGAAGCTGGGGGTGTGGGTTTCTATACTATAAAAGACTGTGAGTTTCATGACCGTATATTGATTTGACAACATCTACAGATGAGTTTGAATTTTTGTCTATTGAAATTCGCAGGAAGTCACAAAGTAATATAACTTGCTCAGTTATCTATAGACATCCAAATAGCGGCAGGTCTTTTCCTCTGGTGGCGGGTAGTTGGTGACGGGTAGCGGGTAGCGGGTGACGGGTAGCGGGTGACAGGTGGCGAGTGCATGTTGGGTGACATTGTGCACCAATACATTGTTGATATTTCAGTAACTAATTAACGTTTCATTCGATTTTTTAAAATAGTTTAGGTTAAAATATTTTATTAATTAAGGCCCCTACGTCAGTTGATTGCTTTGTATATGAAAGTTTGGGTGTTGCGAGTGTGAAAATTTTCTTATTCTGAACAATATGTTCTGCAGTATCATGACTCTGTGAATGTCAAAAGTACACCGCTTGTGTGTTGGTTACATGCAGTGGCGTAGCTAGCGAAATTTGACTAGTCCTGCTCTAAGGCCCACACATTCTAGGGGGGTCCGGGGGCATGCTCCCCGGGAAATTTTGAATTTTAGAAGTCTGGAATGGCCATTTCCTGCGATTTCACGGCGAAATAATCCAAAGGGAACATCAAAAAATTGCGTGATTAGCGGAAAATTTTTGATAATTTTTTTAGAAAAAAAATTTATAACTTTTTGAAATCCATGCACTTTTTATCATATTTCACTATATATTTTTCAACTTAACTGAAAATGTAGCTAAATATAGTCAAGTCACGAAAGAGGAAAATATCATGTATATAATACGCGTCTGTAATACGAGGTTACATGTTGTAAGTTTATAGCTGGTTCTGAATAATCCTCAGACGCATTCTCAACAATAATACGTCCAAATATTCAGCTATGCCAAATCTATGTACTGTCAATCTCGTTCCCCGAGCCTGCGATCCTCGGGAAGGAACGCGAGGCTCTGGGATAATCCGTTGCCGGAAGCCAGGAATTCTGGCTAAGATTGAACTACGAATTCCATTTCAACGCCCAATCAGATTCTTCCCTGAAACGGATTATCCCAGAGCCTCGGGTTCCTTCCCGAGGATCGCAGGCTCGGGGAACGAGATTGACAGTACATAGATTTGGCATAGCTGAATCCATGCACTTTTTATCATATTTCACTATATATTTTTCAACTTAACTGAAAATGTAGCTAAATATAGTCAAGTCACGAAAGAGGAAAATATCATGTATATAATACGCGTCTGTAATACGATCTTTCACTTGATCAACACAAAACAATCTAACCTCACATAATCAACAATTGCATAACTATTATACTGTTGAACACGGCGTTTTATACACTATAACGCTACGACTAGCATTCGTTAAAAATTCACTACGTTTGTTAGTAATGTGACAGATCACTACGCCTGGGACTCTGAATGTAATTCAGTATCCTATGCCTGTGGTATTAATAATATAGCGTTTAATATAGTCTATGCGGCCAAATATCTACATAAACAGTGTGAATTGGTACAGTATATCATTAAAATTAAACTCCATATAAGTGCTCGTTTCAAATGCACAAAGCAGATGAACTGGCAGTAAATATTACGTTCTTACTTTATATCAATACGACAGGCTTCACAAATGAAGTTTGTATTCCCCATTTAATATATTGTATTATAAAAATACACAATCATCAGTCGAGTCTGTTCACATGCATTTCGTGAGCTAAAATATCTTGGCAGAAGCCAGAAATTATATCAAAATCACATTGGGCTTCCACACTTGTTGATTTCCATATTCATAACTTTAGTAATCTCGACAGAATTAGTAAATAGTGGGTTTAGTCACGCGGAAAGCTCGCAAGTAAAGATAATACAAGGTCAAGTCCTGCCATTTCGAGAGAGCAGGACTTCTCATTTGTAAACAGTCGGTTTGAGCATGCGCAGACCTAATTATCCAATCAGAAACCAAGATTTCTTGTATGAATTTACTATGAAATATACTGGCAAGTCCTGCCATTTGAAAATGGCAGGACTGAAATACGAGTCGCGTGTAAATCAATGTAGAGTTGCAGTTGCTAGGTAACAGACACGGCAAGCTGTAAAATTGCGTAAATATAACAGAATGCGAAAAACTTTTAAAAAATAATAACGAAAAAGACGAGAAAATGAGACAAAATAACAATATGATAATGATAAATTTTTAAAGCTTCAAGATAAATAAAGCAATGCTTTAGTACGGAAAATTGGAGAAATTTTTAGTCCTGCTGGGCAGGACAAGCAGGACCGCTAGCTACGCCACTGGTTACATGCATGTATGGGTTTGTTGCAGTCTGAATTCGATGACCACTGACATATGGTCAAATCAAGCAGGATGACTTGTAACCGCCAGCTACGCAGCGTATCACTTTACGACTCTATCAATTACTTAATATTAACTTCTGCTTAATGGTAATTGTGTTAAATGTGTGTTATTTGCGTTTAAATTTCGTTGAACGCAAAATTTGGATTGGCTGTTAAACAAATTGTTACTCGAACAAAATTACACTCTGCTAAAACGCCAAATACAAACGGATAATTGATATTTATTTAATAAAGAAAGGAAACAATAATTTATTAATAGCTAATT